GAAGGAGGGCAAAGTGCGGAGGGAGGATGCGCCAAGGGGGAGGGGGATGGAGGGCAACACAGGCGCTCTCTGACCTGAGCTGTCCAGAGAGGTTTGTAGAGCGCGAGAGCTGCAGCAAGGCTCAAGGGACTGGTTTAGGAATGAAATCAGGCTTGCAAATCACCCTCTTCGTTAAAGGAAAGGGCGGTATGCCTTTGGCATGCATAGGAGGAGCCGTGCCCAAAGGGCCCCTTAAAACTCTCCATCATATTTGTGGACAGAGAATAGGAAGGGGAAATATCATATCAGTTCTCCAGAGGGGGGAGATACTGGCAGCACACTTTTCCTGCAGCATCTGTATGGTTTGTGTGTGCGTGTGCGTGCGTGCGCACGCGGCATGGGAGTGGCAAGGGCAGCCAAGGTAACGGAAGCCTGGTTGCCATGTCACATCCTTCGCCAGGCTGCGCATCCGGATAGGTGGGTACATGCGAAGTTGCCTCCGCACACACGAGCCACTGGCAATGGCCAAGACTGTGGCTTTCTGCAAAAACAAAACTCATTTTCATGGTTTTGCTCCCCAAGGAGGAAACATGCATTTAAAACTTGCCTGGATAAATTTTTAATCGGCCTATCTCCCAAATACTTTCTCCTTCTCTCTCCCATGCATCTGGTATCAAGCCAGAAACTGCTGATTGCTTTAAAGAAGCAGTGGGGAAAGCTTCCACAATGACTGCTTGCTAATCTGCAAGAAGCAGGTTGTGTCTCTGCCTCTTTCGCTAGAAATGTTAAAAATAAGAGTTGATTAAAAACAGGAGTTTCCCACAGGTGCCCACCCACTCTTCCTACAGAATGCTGGCATTCAAATCCAAGCATGCCATTTTGTCAGCTGGGGAATCTTAGAACAAGGGTGGCTTAAGATGACACTTTGCTGGGGACTAGAAACTTGAGTGTGCTATCAGACGTTCAGAAGCAGCACCTTTTCCTGCACACACCTGCCCTGCAAGTAGGTTGACTCCACACTCAATATGAATTTGCCACATGCATGTCTTTCATGAGTTTGTGCATTTTCGGGTGACTCAGTCAAGGCTGTCTCAGTTCTTATTCCAGATCTGAGTCATATTGCCTTGAGTTTGCCTGGTACGTTACTAATAATTAAACAAGGTTGTTGTTTTGTTTTAATAAAGGAAATTAAAAGGAGAAAGGCAGAATGAGCTCCAGTCGTAATTTCAAGCAGAATCTTAAGCATGTTTTAAAAGAAAATGTGCCCCCTCCAACCCCACAGGCAAGCATTGCTTATAAAGGGTGGGGGGGGGGCTGAATCACTTGCATTTAATTACCAACCTCTGGGTATGCTACAGCAGCTTTCAAACGCAACATTTAAAAGGCATTTTCTGCATCTGTTTCCAGGGCTAAAAACTTAGTTTCTTGTTAAAAGGAAACGAGGCTATTCGCCAGTGTGTGTGTGTGGGAGTACTCTGCGCTTGCGTGTCGGAAATGGTGGCAGCCCTTTAGTGAGGGAAACCTCCCCTTCCCCTCCTTCCACCAAGACTAAGAGGGCAAGAAAAGAGCTCTGCAGTAGCTGGATGGGCAAGATGCTGGGCAAGAACCTCTGTAGGCTGGTGCTGGACTGAATACCTCATTTTTTAAGTTTTGGGAACTGGCCAGAGCGCAGGTCCCCAGCCCCTCCCCTACAAAGCTTGCCTTAATTGCTAGCTGAATGCAAGGTCCACCAGCTCCCCTTGCATGGTGGTTGAGGCCTTATTTTATTTTAACTCAGACGGTCTCTCCAGGTGAAGTCGCGCCTTGGCTGCTGCAGCCATGCTCCGAGAAGGATGGCCCGTGTGGCCAGCAGGGATCACCCTCTCAGTTCCTAAGGGCATTCTGTGGGGGAGATGGCTGCGCCCCCTGCGTGGCTCGAGTTGTAGGGGCTTTGCGAAATCTCTCTGTGATTGTCAGGCACTTCAGCCCAACTGCCTGCCCTTTCGCCAAGCGGACTTGCTGCAACACAATTCGCACTCACACAAATCCCCCCACAAATCCGGATTTATGACCTGCTCTTATCAGGGCCACTCCCTGGGCCATTCTACCCTGGAAAAGACCTGGGGACTTGCAAATGCTAGCAGCAAGTCTTCTTTCTTTCGGAAAGCAGGAGCCTCCCTCCGGGCAGTGTGTCACCAAGCATGCCAAAGAGACACCCCCTTCTGCCTCGTGTCGCAGCAACATGGGCGCTGGTGAGGAATCAAAGGGTTTATAGTAGCCATGTCATGCGCATGTTGCTTGGTTTGAACTTATGGACGAGGCTGCTGCAGGACTGCCCGTCCCGATCCTGTTTGCACCCGTTACCAGCACACTGGACTTCAAGGCTGGGGGCCATGGGAGGCACATGAACTTCTGCACACACGAGCTTCTGCACACACACCCCTTCTGACAGCCATGACACTGTGTCACTTCCACCTGGCCTTTATCCCCCCCCCCCCCCGCAGAATATCCCTGACACCGGAAGGGTCCCCATTCCATGCACACACAGCCCAGATCACCCAAAGGCCCCTTCGCCAGCTCAGCCTCCAGTACATTTGGCTTAAACTTTCACACAAGCTGCTTAGCTTGGTCATTTTCCACCACAACAGCAGCATATGATTTGGCAGCACAGAGTTCCACCAAGGACCAGCGTCTGCAGAACTTGCTGCCAGGGAGAGAGAAGCTGGCCCTTTCTGATTTGGGCCCTAAGGAGTGCTATGGGTCGCAGCCCCCCTTGCCGAAAGAAAGCTGGGTCAGCAGCTCCATCCAAAACATGAAGGCTGCCCCTATACCCTGGCGGTTATTTGCCACAGAAATAAAGATCAACAGAGCCGGGATTTCAGCAGGAGACTGGTATATTTTGCTGTAAGCAGATGGAACCTACTTTATTTTAAGACATTCATATGGATGGTTTTGTGCATCTTTTATTCTGGGTATCTCTCAGTCACAGGGACTTGTAACACAGCAGGCGGGAAGAGAATGAGAAAGAGAAAGAGAGAGAGGTGACAAAATGCTAATCGTGCCCTTGGCATCCACGAGAAAGACCTCGTCTTGAGAGGGATTGCATTTCCACCTTCAATGTACTAGTAGCCCAGAATCGTGCAACTGCAGAAGGCTAAGCAGAAGGCTGGACAATCCCTCATGCCTAAGGCGTGAGCAGCAGAAGCCAGCAACTCCAGCTGCACTAGCACTGCCTTTGTGACCCCCGCACCCTGCCTCGCCCAAGTCTCCTTTGCAGCTGGGGGTTTGTGTGTGCTCACTGATGGAACTGGAGTTGGTTTTCCCCTTCAGAAAAGTCTGCAAAAAGCACCTTGCAACAGACGTACTGTCAGCTGGCATGGATCATTTTGCACTTTTTAGCCCTGTGTCTGATCTGTGAGGACCACAAAGAGACATGGGGAAATAAAGAAAGATCGGAAATGTAGAACATGCTATTGCTTTCACATGGCATATGCATTCACGTGTCCTTCAGTCTCCTTTGCATGACTGTGCATGCACTTCCAGAACCCATTTTTCAAGAGATTTGCAAGCAGTACAGGGTCCACAGGCAGGGCTCCTAGAAACAAGAAGTCACTCGATTTCCATGGTGGATTCTCTCACATCCTTTTGTGCAAGAGCTCCTTTCCAACTGCAAGCCCACCTGGCTTGAAGGCCCGGTCCTTGCTTTTCTCTGCTAGTACATCTTACTTTTAAATGGTGGGACATTTCTAGAAGGACCAGTGACTTCCCTCAACCCCATGATTGGTGCACTACTGGAGAGACAGATTATAGGCATTCTGATGTTACAATGGCAACAGATTCTAATTTGCCCACAGGAGTCTGAGGGTTCTTCCAAGCTGAAGTAGAGAACAACCCTAAAGAGACCACCACAGATCTTTGAACTGTTAGCAACATCAGTGATTTTCAAGCTAATCACTGAAAATCATTCAAGCCAAAATGGAAGGGCTATGGAGGATCTTACCCGGGCTTCTAAATTCTCCTCAGCCAAACTCCTTAGCCTTAGTCAAACTTCGAATGGGGATCACTCACCAGGCCATTCATCAAAGGCAAGAAGCACTGCAGAAAAGCTTAACCAAGCTTTCACAGAATACGCCAGAGTTTCTCATTACCATGTGCTGTAGAAGTGCTTATAATGGCTGCAAATGGTATGTGCGGCATCTTCCCCTTAAGTGTAAAACTTCAGTGCACTGCGGATGTCACCCCACATTTAAGTTCACAGTTACGATGATATGTGCACAGATATAAACCGCACACATCGTTTTGGCTTTGCGATTAACACCTGCAACACTGGTACCATCAACTCCTACACACACTGGGCCCAGCCTGCCCCAGAGATGACTTGAGCACCCCACCGCAAACTTTAAGATCCATAATGTTCCCTTTGCATGTGACGTCCATGCATTGGGTTTGTGCCCACTGCTGGCTGACTGGGATTTGCAATCTTCTCATGCTAAGGATTCACACAAACCCCCCTCTCTCCCACTGAGCAATGGAAATCATGCCTGTCTGAACTAGCTGCCCACTGCTTAGGGCCATGCTCTTCTCCACCCTGACTCTTGGCGATGATGAAGTCATGAGTTCATGCACGCAAACGTATCCCCTTTCTTCACAGCATGCATCTCTAGAAACCACTTTCACCTGCTCCTTTGGTGCCTCCCCCCAACCAAACAGGCAACGCTTGGTGCAAGCACAGCGGAAGATCCATCCGTGCCCCCACAGTGCATCACTCGGGCTCCCGGCATCCCAGGGAACTGCTCGAGCGCGTGTCTTAGCTCTAGTGCCGCTACGCCCTGCATTCGTCTCGAGACAATCATCATTTTGTGCACAGAAACTCAGAGCTCTGCCGAAAGTGACCCATCCTCATGACTTTTTGTGAACCTGCTTTAAAGATGTTGCCCCCGGCCATTCCTCTCAGGCCGCTCACACACATTTTATGGGCCGGTGGCTGTATGATTCACGGGCGGGAGGGCTACAGCAGTAAAGGAAAGCAGTCGTTCTCTTACCATAGGGAGGAGCCCTCTGTTCCAGTGACCTCCAAAAAGTCATATTCATCCTCTAGTTGGAAATCCAGAAACACCAAAGCGATGGTGTCCCCCGGCTCTGCTAGAATGGTCCACGTGCAGTCGGCATTGTTGATATACTCAGAGGGGTAATGGGGGGTTGAAATAATCCCACTCTGCCCCCGAAGCGTCCCACCGCAGGCATCATCAGCTGAAAGGCAAAGGCAGACACAGGTGAGCTGGGAAAAGGACCTCTCTCCTGAACTGCATTATAAGGACTTCCAGAGTGTGTCATTCTCAGGCAGGTAACCTGAGTAAAATTGGGAATGTCCATACACATGGAGATGCTAGCAACATGCTATGTTCTTTTCAATGTTTAATGTGATATCCCGGAATGTCAAGGAGCTAAGGACTTTAAATAAGCAGAAGAGACTGCTTGATAAATTAAAACAACTTATTGCCAGTGTCGCTTTTCTACCAGCAACCCTCTTAGTGAAGCTTGATGATCCTTTGTTGAAAAAAGGCTAATTTGGGGAGGTTTACATAACAAATGCACCAGCGCACTTCAAGGGGGTTGTGATTTTAATCCACAAGAAACTCTCTTTGTTATTTAAACATCTGATAACTGATCCAGATGGTAGCTTTTTTATTTCAATTGGGAGATGTATCAATAAGCTCATTGTTAGGATAACGCCAATGGGCCAAGTAATGATGGTTGACATTAAAGGTTAGTTGGATTTACCCCTCACTGGATTATGTGTGCACATGCAGGCTGGGTGAGGTGTGTGTGTGGGAGGCTTGAAAGAGATCTTAGATCCTGTGCTGGATCCCTGGATCCAACCCCCTTGAGAGCCCACTGGGCTGCCAATATGTCCGGTGCTGAGCATCAGCTCTTGAGTCCACGTAATACGGATCCCGTGTAAATTACACTGGCTGCCAGTTGAAGCCCAGCCCCAATTTAAAGTGCTTCTGTTAGCACAGAAAGCCCTGAATGGCTTGGGGCCTGGTTACTTGATGGACCGTCTTTTCCCAGATATACCTACTGGCCCATTGAGATCTGGGCATGAGGTCCTTCTAAAAGAGCCATCCCTAAAGGAAACGAAAGGGATGGCAATTAGAGGAAGGTGCTTTTTGGTGGCTGCCCCTCAGCTTTGGAATGGGCTTCCTAGAGAGGGCCACCAGATGACATTCTTACTATCATCTCAGTGCCAAAAATGAAACCTAGGTTTAACAATTTGCCCAATATTTTGTTCTACTACCAATAATTGGTTGCCTCATAGAAATTGCCATGTCCAATTCAATTGTAATGAAATTGGTTTTGTTATCTTGTTGTTCACATATAAATTTAAAACAAATAAACCAGCAAAAAAATAGAAACATAGAAACAGAGCGAGTCAGAAGGGGTCTCCCAGGCCATCTAGTCTGACCCCCGGCTCCAGCTGGCTCCGCTCATGACAGGCCTGCCATGTGTAAGTGCAGCCTATCGTTGGATGACTAAATAAATAGTAGTTAGTTTCATACTCCAGGAAACTGCAGAGGATTTCTTGGAGGGTCTTGCAATATGGTGAGCATCATTATCTATTTATTTTGTGGGTCCATAAACATTGCTATTAGCTTATTACTTGGACTTGACCTTGTTGAAAAGTCAAACTGAAGCTTGTACAATTGAACATTTGGTAATGCTAGGCCATGTCCCAAGTCTGTTTGGAACTGCGATTTTCAGATTTGCCTCAGTCCTGGATCTTTGGTGCTTTCATGTTTTGTTTCTTAATGAGAAAGTGTCTAAAAATCAGATCTTTGCTGATCTTCATGTATGTTTGGAAAATAATGAGGGTACAATCGTTACTGAGTGGGAAGCCAGCAAAGCTTTTATAAGGGGTCAGATTATTGGTTACCCTTAATATAAGAAGAAATTTTAAAAGAGTTAGCAAACATCACCAAATCAGGAGTTGAAAGTGCTTGTGACCCACTTTTCAGTTTATCCACCACACAGCTCTAGCAGGCATTACAGAAGGTTAAATACAAGTAGATCAACCCCCCCACCCACCACCATACAAGCCCTCTGTCATAGCAAGCAGAATTGACTTTAACTTATTTATGATGGGTTTACCAGGAGAAACATCCCAGTAAGTTTTTGGCCCATTGCCTGAAAGAGCAGAAACAATAGGAAAGTAATTGCTACAATTTAAGACAACAACGATCAGATATATACCTTTTCTGTAGAAATACATTTACAGTTGTTAAAGTTGTTGGGATACTAAAATACAGATTAATTTTCTAATGATCATTTCTTGCATCCCCTGTACAAATGAAGGCAATTATGAAGGCAATTATGAATATGAGTACTGGGAAATTAGATTGACCAGATGGATTTCCAATTGAGTGGTAGAAAGTATTTTCTAGCTTTATAGTTTCAAAACGACTTGGTTTGTATTTCTATGTTATTTAATTGGATTTGTTCTTTGTATTATCAAATGATGCCTTTATTGCAGTGCTATCCAACAGATTCTTGCTGCAGCCCATAAACAAGGATTTGTCTGAGTCGACCAACTGCTAGAAGTGGACTACTGCTAAGACTCATTGACTCATGTTCTTTGATCATGTCCAGCAGCTGCCTCTTTTTGGGTGGATGATATACTACAGACAAACTTGGTATTAGAACAAGATATTTTTCCAATAGACACCTGTTTTTAATCTACCTACCTGTTTCCGGTTAAAGTTAAAGCTTGGTCAATGTAAATGGTTTTTCCATACCTTTCTGAGAACCGAGGCCAGATAAAAGACTGACAAGATCAAAGCCAGCCCCCATACCACAATGGACTGAGACCTAATGTGGCTTTCTCTTATTTGAGTGGATGACACAGAGACACCAGTCTCAAATGGACACACGCACAGATAGTCCATCTGCTTTTGTTTAATCCTATGAATAATTGATACCTCTGGATTAATAATTTATATTATTGGGATATTTCTGCAGCAGTGATTGTTTTTCATTTTCTTCTTTTTTCTTTTTATTTTCTATTGGTGAATAAACACACACATACACAGAAGAAAAGACACAAGCAAAGAAACAAAAGACTAGATGTCAAACAGAACTGAAGGATTCTTAAGGCACCTCCCCATCGTCTTTTTTGTCCTCCTGTCAACAAATAGGAAGCATTCAAAAGGCCAGGTTGACCCGGTTTTTCAACTGTGCGCATCTTTGAACCACAGGTGTTATTCTGTAAGAGCATTTGTGCAGATTTCTCAAAAGGATGCAATTTTCACCTGCATTTTTCAAATGCATGTATGGAGTCAAACTCATTTTTGGGGCTGCAGTACACAGTGCAAGTTCAGAAATGGGTTGACTTTGGCCTCAGTGTGAACCTGAGCCTGCTTTTGGTCCGGAAGGTACAAAGTGGGTAAACCTGGATCGAAGAGGGAATGAAGCGGGCATCTCACCCAACCCTCAGATGCAGCTGGTTAGTTCCCACACTGCTGCCTCACGACTGGGTGTTCTGCAACGCCCATGAATTATTTTTGCGTACAAGAGTGCTTTGCCCTGCCAAAGGCCTTCTCTGCCATGGTAGCAGGGGAGCTTTGCACCTCTGCTTCCATCTGCAAGGATGCAATCTTCCCCGACGAACCTCTTGCTTGCCTTGTGAAGGAGGAAGCCACCACGAACCTGGAGCAGTAGCATGCTGCACGCAGAACCGGTCGCCATGAAACTATTGTGTGGCAGACTTTGCAGAGGAGTGTGTGGCAAGACCATCACTGGGTCTGCCGGTGCATGCAGGTGTGCCTGACCTCCGCCCGCTAAGACCAAATGCAGAATGGAGTGGATCTCACTGGCAAAGCTCACACCTTCCTAAAAACATTTCCAAGCCTTGGAACGAGTTTCCTTTCTTTGGTGTGTGTGCGTATGCACAGTGCATGCGCAAAACAAAATATGCGTGTTTCAGACATGCACACATGCAATCTAAAAATGCACAGAAGACCACTGGATTTGCTTAAGCAATGGTTAGAAGTAAAGCATGCTGTTCGCGAAATCTGCCTGCTAGAAACACAGGCACATTTCCATGATGCTGGGGGTCTTGATCCAGTGTGGACACAGGAGGGAAACCACCTTGGTAATGGGAAAAAAGGATGATTGTCCAGGCAAGATTAGCCCTGGTAGATTTGGCCATCCCTGGTCCGCAGTCTGGCTAGGAATGCACGCAGAATCCATTAGGACGGGGTCAAAATATGGCAGACTGGCCTGGCTTGATTCCGCACCAAGAATCTTGCCCATCTACCTAGGACTGGTGCCAAGTTCCTCTGATGCCAACTGAGCCAGCACACAATGTTCCACTTTTAAAATGGGCTGTGACTCACTTTTTTTTTCAAGGGAGACAAATTTGCACGAAATACAGCCGTGATTTGCATGAATGTTGCTCTCATTGCAAAACTTGAATAAATAGACATTAGTTGTGCAGTTTGCATAAAATGCAGCCACCATTTGTGCAAATGGTGCCTGCATTTTACACCAAGTTCCCTGCCTTTACAAAGATTCAAACTGCAGCCCGTTTCGAAAGTACAAACCGCAAGAAACCCGAGTTGCAAGCTCACAGCGCTAAGTAAGTGAGGTGTGCCAAAGTTGGCCAAGCACAAGTAGATTGAGTCCTACATTATGTCAACCATCCCATAATGATCACTTTATTAATAACTTCTATTTTTTTTCCTCAGGCAGGACATTCTTTGAAAAGTAAGTAATAATTAGTATAATTGGGAATAGGATCAGGAGAAAAGGAGCACAATTAATTCTGAAGCTGTGGGATGGAAAAGCAAGCAATTAATTCCAGGGGGCAAGAGATGCGATCTCGTGTTGACGATGAGCTACAAGGAGCATCTCCCCTCCTCTTCTCAAATGGGTCCATGAGGTGTGTCACCCAGGCACCGCTGCTGCAGGAAGGGACAAAGCAAGGGAAGGAAGAAATCTCCCAACCCCAACCCTGCAGCCCCTGCGCAAGCAGGACACGTGGGCCTGTGATGCCCCTACACCTTCCCCAGTCCCAGTGCATTGCGCCCTCGTACCTTAGCCCCGTGCTCTTGTGAGCTCGCACAAGTCCTGCTGCGCTCCTGCTGGAGCTGAGCACCTGCCCTCCTGGCCAAGAGGGCCCTGAAGGGTGCACAGAAGACAAGCAGGGGTGCAGACAGCAAGTGCCACCCCAGGCCGAGTGACCGGTGGGGCTC